GTGTCCTGAGCTTGCTTGCTAGGTCACCCAATGGACCTTCCATCCCCTGGGGAATTCTGAGAGGGTATAACAAGGTCACAAGTCCTGAGCCCCTGAGCCTGAGGGGCCAGGGAGATGAGTATTCTTAGGAGCCTGTAGGAAAAGCCAGCTGGGGTTGTCATGGAGACACACTATCCTAATAAACATGTCCCTCTGGAGGCTTGAGTGGTCCGGTCCCTCAGAGTTTATAAAACACACCCACATTCATTCCCTCTGTGACCCTTTCATCCTACAAACATCCCAGAGTCTGTCCCCTGTGCCCAGCACTGGGCTGGCCCAGAGCCATGGGGTAAGTGGGCTGCATGGAGTCATGATGGTCAGAGCTGGGGCAGGCTGGGTGGAGGGAAGAGAACAGAATGGTCAGGGCCTGAGAGAAAGGCAGCTGGGGGATAGAGGAATGTGAGGGGCCCAGGCAGGAGGGACAGAACAAGGTTCCCTCTGGCCCCCTAAGGGCTGTTCACCCCTAGGGGCAGGGAGGCAGCCCTGCACCATGGAAGAGGTGCATTCTCACATGTTGGTGAGGCTGTGGCACTCTGGGTAGACAATGGGTTAGAGAAGTGGAAGAGCTCAGGTATTGTCGACTAGGGACATCACGAGGGTTGTCAGCTCTGTTTCCCAGCAGAGGTCCCAGGTTCATACAGGCCAGGTGACTGTACAGAGTCACCAGTAAATGACAACAGGGTCTGGTTTTGAGTCCTCCCACTGGCTCAGTTCCCAAACCAAGTCTCTTCTTATTTTTATTTATTTATTTTTAATATTTTATTATTTTTATGTGTATGAGTGTATTGCCTGCATGTAGGTGAGTGCACCCGTGTTGTGCAATGCTGCAGAGGACAGAAGAGGCTGTCGGATCCCCTGAAACTGGAGTTAGAGACAGTTGTTAGCTGCCATGTGGGTGCTGGGAATCGAACCCAGATAATCTGTAAGAACAGCCAGTGTTCTTAACCACCGAGCCATCTCTCCAGCCCCCTACTTATTTATTTTTAATGTTGTATGAGTGTTCTGTCCTCATGTAAGTGCACCCCTGTCATGCAATGTCCATGGAGGCCAGAAGAGGACATCAGATCACCTGGAACTGGAGTTACAGATGGTTATTTATTAGTCTCCATGTGGGTGACAGGAACCCAACCCAGGTCCTCTGCGAGAGCAGCCAGTGATCTTAACTGCTGAGCCATCCCTCCAGCCTCCCAAGTCTTTTCTTGTCCCCTTGGGCTGCTGTTCAGGTCTCAGGATGATACCATTGAACTCTCAATTTGTACTGGTTCTGAGTGCCACTGGTGTGAATTTCCAAGTCACATCTCTTACTATCTGAATCCACTTTTACAGGAAAGGAGACCCAAACAGTCATTTACCCAAGATCACTTACAAAAAGACAGCCACAACCAGAGGTGCTGGAGTTTTTAAGTCCTTGTCACAAGTGGCATGGGAGATTGTAGGATGGAGGAGGTATAGATCAGAGGGCTGAGTGTGCAACACCAGGAACTCCCTAGAGAAGAAAAAAGTGTGAACATGCTGTGTGACCTCAGGCCACTAACTCTCCCTCTCTGGGTCTCAGGTCATCTCACTTAAGGCATGAACACAAAGCCTTCAGGGTACACACACACATACACACACTCTACAGTCTGCTTTGTTTATTCCTAAATCAATGGTCTAACCCCAGCCCTGAAGATATACCCAAAGAAAGACGGAGGGGAGGAGTCAGAGAGGGAGGTGGTGTGGTGAAAAGAGAAAGGGCAATGGAGGGATTAACCCTTCTCTAAATGCCTTGTCCATGTAGATGTCCCCTGGGGCACAGCCCACCTGAGTTTGGGTGTGGGGATAGCACATCCCACCTACTTCATTTCCCAGGACCAGAAGGGACCAGACTCCCAACATTCTCCAGGGACCCAGGGCCTTGTTTAGAAAGTGTCTCCTTAGAGCCTGAGTCACCAGATCTGGGTGGTCTGGGGGAAACCAGAATATTACCGTATGATGCCAGGAAGGGTTAGAGGCAACTCCTGACAGCTGGCCAACACAGCAACTCAGCCAGCTCAGGGACCCAGAGTCCCCGCCTGTAAACAGAGGCAGAACAGAATGCTCAGATCCCCAGGAAGAAAGGAAGTCATAGGACCAGTGAGATGGTTCAGCTGGTAGACACTGATGGCCAGACCTGATGACCTGAGTTGGATCCCTGAGACCCTGGTGGAAGGAGAGAGCTGACTCCTAAAGTTGTACTCTGACCTCCGTATATGTACTGCAGCATATACACACATATATACACATAGAGAGTAAATAAATGTATTTTAAAAGAAAAATAAAAGGAAAGGTGGCCACAAGGCCACTCCTCGACACTTAAGGCCACCAATGACCCAGGTAATGTGGGCTCAGTTTCCTCAGTGATAGCCTGGAGGCGTCAGTTAGCTTGTCTTTTGCTACCTAGGGGTAGAAAACTGTGACCACCACGTCCATTTCCTGATATGTGGGGTGACCCACTCCTGCATCCTCTAAAGATCTGGATGGGCTTAGGTGGGCCTAGTTCTCTCCTGCAGCTTGCTCCCTGCCAATGACCTTTAAGAGAGTGCAGCTGTGGGCTAACAAGATGGCTCAGTAGGTAAAGACACTTGCAACCAAGCACTTAGGAGGCAGAGGCAGGTAGATCTTTGTGAGTTCAAGGCCAGCCTGGTCCACATAGTGAGTTCCAGGTCAGCTGGGGCTACAGGGAGACCCTGCCTCAAAAAGACACTTGCCACCAAGCCTGATGACTTGAGTTCAATCCCCAGGACCCACATGGTAGGAGAGAACTGACTCTTACAAGTTGTCTTCTGACCTCCATATCAGTACCATGGTACATGTGCAGACACATAGACATAAGTAAGTAAATAAATAAATAAATAAATAAATAAATAAATAATGTAATAATTTTCCTTTAAGCAAACCCAGCTCTGCTTCACCTCATGGGTCCATTTGGAACCCAACCCACCTTCCCACCGCCTGTGAAGCATCATCTCATTTTGATGGTGGTGGAACCCAGCCTCCCTCCCCAGGCTGGCTGTCGGGAGAAACAGCTGCTATGAGCTAATGATGGGTCAGGCCCTTCCTTCTTTGATGTGCCGCTGCTTCTGAGGCAGGGACAATTCTATTCCCATATGGCAAGACCAAAAACTCTGAGGGATGCTAAAAAGTCATTGCTGTCACTCTGTAGGTACACTGTAGCAGCCTCTGAAGACTCCCCTCCCCTGCTTCCTGGTGTCAGCCACCCCAACTTGTCAGCTTGGCTCCACCCTTTGCTATTTTATCACTCAAGAGTTCAGGCCCTGAGACCATCCAGGAGAGTGCCCAGTTTCTCCTCAGTACACATAGAATTGTGCCTGGGCACCCAATAATGGCCCGACAGGCCACCACACTGCTTCACACTAAGAATTAGTCTTTGGGGATACATGAGGGAGAGATTTCTCTGCTGATTTCTTCAGGAGAGGAACTCAGTGTGAAGGCCCTTGGAGTGATCAGCTGTGGTCAGCCCAGAAACACCAGTAAGCTTTGACATGGGGACAGGATTACCAGGACTGGGTACAGTTCATGGGCAAATAACAATAGGAAACAGTCAAATGATTTATTTGGTGGCTACGATTCCTGTCACTTGCATCCTCTTGGAGCTACCCCACATGGGGACAGGGAAGGCTCTTGTGATCGATCAGTAGATGAAGGATAGCACACCACTGTGAAGCATGGTTATGGAGGACAGATTTGCTCTTGGTCAGTCTTGTGGGCCACTTGCTCTGAAGAAGCCCTGTCATTAGAAGCCCAAGGGACATCCCTCTGGAGAGGAACTGATATGGAGAGGATCCCCAACCCAGTCAGCCTGAAATGGTTCTAGCCCAGAGCCTAGCTTGACTACAACCCTTGCACAGACCCTGGCAGAACCACCCAGTTCCTGACCCAGAGTGATGGTGGGTGGTGAAAAATGGTGATTTAGAGCTGTTACCGTGGGATAATTTACTTATACAGCTGGAGATTACACATAGGCCTTTTCAAGAGCTCTTCATGTTAATGTAAATCTCCAAGAGAAAAGACGTGTGATGGAATATTCCTCTGAGGTATTTGGCAGAGAGGCTTCTTCTGTGAGGGTATTTTCCAGAAAATTCTGATCTCATATATTTCTGGTCCGACAGTGAGAAGGAACTTCCTAACACCATCTGTGTCATGAGCTAGCCATTTATCTTTCCAGAACCCCAAAATGCCACATTTACAAATGAGAAATATGCCTGCTTTTCACTATTAATGCAGCCCATGGGGCAATTTCTGAACTTCTTGGTATATATAAGAGGTTGGGAGGAGTAGACTGTCCAGGTCCTAAGAGAGGCCTCACCCTGGGGCTCAAGGTAGGAAGGTCTCAGTCTTTCTTCCTCAAACTGTGGTGAGAGATGGCCTCTACTTTGTGCATAGCTCTGAGATGGGAGACATGGACCTGAACCCCTCTCCTCCATTGAGCTGGCAGGGCTCAGTCTAGGGAATGACCCTCCCTCACCAGATTGGGAATTCTTCTAGGTCAGGGCAAGAATCTCCTCCATCAGACCTGAACAGGGCAGGAGCCTCCCTCATCCTCCCTCAACCCTGTACTATGTCTTTCTCTTTTCCCCCATCCCTCTGCAGTGGACACACCCCAGCCTTGGGCAAGAAAGAACAAGCCTTCCTCTGTTTATGGACAAATATACCCCCTTCCTTTACTTTTGTTAAGACAGGGTCTTAAGTATCCCAGGCTAGCCTTGAACTCCTTACATAGCAGAGGATGACCTTGAACTCCTCATCTTCCTGCCTAATCCCCCAAACTCTGGGATTACAGGGATGTGCCACCATGCTAGCTGCCCCCCAACACACTTCAATTTATCCCTTCTACTCCACATCCAATAAATGTTAAGTAAAACCAAGTTCCTATGAAGGCTCCTCTTTGTAAAAAAGAAGACAGCTTTAAAAAAAAAAAAAGCTGTAATGCGAATACTTTATTATTGAGTGACTGTTATTAGCTTTTCGTCTGGGCATTAATATTTCAAAAACCAAACATCAAACCCAGGCTTTTCCACCTAGTTCTGCTGTATCATTTTCTTTAAAATAAAAAAAAAAAGGAAAGAAGAGGGGAAGAAAGAAAAAATATATCTGTATTGAAAGAATTATAAGCCAAAGTGCGTCTTTCTTGTTTGTCCATATACACACATTGCACCATACATAAATAATTACATTGTAAAAATGACTCCATAATTACAAGTATAATATATATTTCCATATAATATATAAAACTTTATATTAAATCTAGGTAGATGATATCTGGGGAGGGGGTAATGTCCGTGGGGCGGCGTCTCTGGGCACTGGCCCCTGGAGGTGGGGGGACTTTGCAGCGCGGTGGCAACCGCAACGCTATCTGTGGTTGTTGAGAAGGATCTCCAGCCAGCAGGGGCAGGAGGTGATGAACTGTCGCGAGTAGCAGGGTCCCCAGCCCTTGGCGAAGCTGATGCGCACGCTGTGCGGGTCGTAGGGGCCGTGGGCGGCATCTGCGTGCTGCAGCAGCCCCGAGCGCTCGAAGTCGAACACCTTGATGGAATAGCCGGGGGGCACCTTGCGCACCACCAGGGCCCGGCCTCCAGGCGCGTCCAGCGTCGGGGAGTTGACGAAGATGGGGTGCTCGCCACGGTTGTAGGCCCACACGCCATCCGGCTCCTTGCTGAGCAGGATGCCGAAGCCGATCTTGCTGCGCGTGCGCCGCACCGACTCGCTGCGTTGCTCCAGGTTGAGCTGGCCCAGGCAGAAGCCGCTGCCCTGAGGTAGGTCGTAGAAGATGCTGACGGCCTGGTCGTACACCGCATAGAGGCGGCCCACGCGCGTCCGGTGCTCCCAGTACGCCACGCTGCACCAGTGGCTCGGCTTGGTGGCGTCTGGAGACATGCTGGCGTCTGCGGGGCAAGCACAGGCAAATGGCCAGGTTATTGAGGGCGCAGAGGGGATTGTCCCGCCTGGACAGTGGAGGCTGGGCGAGGTTTTCTATGGTCTGCCGGCATGTGAGCATACACTGTGTGCCAGGCACCAAGTAATTTAGCACACAATAGGGATCCCTCTCTTAAAATGTTTTAAAATGTGGGGGGGGGGGCGTTGGCATTATGTGTATATGAAGGAGGTCAGAGGACAGCTTGTAGGAGTCAAGTTTTCTTCTTCCACCACGTGACTCCAGGGATCAAACTTAGGTCATCAAGCTTGGTTACAAGTGCTTTACCCAAGGAGTCATCTAACTCATCCCTCCCTGCACACACACATGCACCACCACCACATACACAAAGGTGGTGAACCTACAGTGTGCAAATCAGGGTGCTTACTATGTCCTAGGTTGTGGGATACACAGCTATTAACCACACCCAGCTCCTGCCCACCATAATTTTACACCTAGGAGAGAGAGAAATACCAGCAAACCCAAGGACCAGCCTTCAGCCTACCATACTTCACCCATAGGACCCAGTGTCTGCAAAGCACCCACAGCCTGCCCAAAGTGCACAGAGGCCCTGCCAGGATGTGATGGAGAACTCAGTCCAAGACTCCACCCAACAGAGCTCTTAAAGGGGCCTCTAGCATAAGGAGAGGATAGAGTGAGGGTCACTTAGAGACAGGCATGGTGACATGCACTTGCTGAACTAGGTACTCTGGAGGCAGAGGCTGGAAGATGGCTTGAGCCTGTGAGTTCAGGACCTGCCTGGGCAACAGGATGAGAACCCATCTCCAAAAAGAGTACTGCTGATACTCCCAGCCTCAGCCTCAGTCTCCCACCAAGCTGATATGGTATGATTCTGGTATGTTTTTCCAGAAACACAGCAAAGTGGGGAGGTCGCTAAGTGGGGAAAAAATGCTCACCAAAGAATCTGGATGTTGTCAGTTCTGAGGTGTGTGCTGTTCCACTCTGGGTTTCAGTTTTCCCATCGTATGGCAAAGGAGTGGCCTGGTTGGTCCTTAAACCCTGTCCCACTCCAATGTGGGGGATTTCTGCACGTCTGAGAACCAGATACTGCCTTGTAGGGCAGTCCCAGACCCTCTGCTCTCAGGTGTAGCCAGCTTCTGAGTCTCTGCTTTGGACTCACAGCTCCAAGAGGCAAGTGGGCTCCACAACTGCCCACTGAGCTGACATAACCCACTACATCTGCTTCCAGCTGGGGTCTTCAAAATAACCCAGAACCCCATATTCAGCTCTTTCAAGTGAAACTGGCCAACAACCAACCTAGACCCAGAAAGACAATGATCATTGGGCCATGAGGCCAGCTCTGCTGCCTCCATCCCTGGCTCTGAGCCCCAAGATACCTCACACACCAAAGGCTGCCTCGGCCCTAGCAGGAAGCTGCCCAAGGGGCCTCCTGTAGGCTGCATGGTTGGGTGGCTACTATGGACTGGACAAGAACCCTATGAACAGGCCCCTCACTCTCTGCTTGTCTCTCAGGTGCCAGCCACAGGTCCCCCCATTTGTTGAGGATATTGAAGTCTTCACACCAGCCCAAAGGTCTCATCATTTTGCCTCGGGGACCATCTAGGCCACCCACAATTCCAGCTAAGAGTCAAGAGGGAAGATAAAAGAGACATTTGCTGCCCTCAACTACGTGCTCTCAGCCACTGGGCACAGAAAGCCCATGGTAGACAACCAGGCTACAGATACCAGGAACAGCCAGGTCCTGAGCACCAGCCTTTCAAGCTACTGTCCTCTGCCATGCCCATCTGGCAACAAGATTCCAGCAATGCTCAGAGTCAGTAAGACTTCCTCTAGTGAGCCAGGCCCCGGCTTTACTGGGGGCTTCCTATGAGCTAAGTGCTACCTTCACTAAAGCCCTATTTCATGTGCTACACACCACAGAATGCTGGAGCCAGCCTCAGGAGACAGCATACTTTTTTGTATGTGTGGTGCCAGTGATGGAACCCAGGGTGGCCTCGCACCTGCCAAACAAGCTCTGACCCACTGAGCTACACCCATGCCCTAGGTTAGCCACGCTAGAGGGAGCTCTTCTCCATCCTCCAGGCAGTTCAGGACAGGTTCCTCCCTGAAACATGCACTGGGCCAGTCTCTTCCCTTCTTTAAGCCTCAGTTTCCGTATCTGTAATGGTCACTGTTCTAAGGGTCTGTGAGTCCTGGAGGTGCTTGCTTCACTCTCTTACTGAGGAAGGGGTCACTGATATTCCCTTCATAGGTAAGGTGGGTTGAGCTGGATTGTACGTCCTCAGGCCCGAGTTCCCTAATTCCAGGAGGTAAATTGCTGCCAGTGAGGATTCCTATTTGACCACCTTCTTGGTCACCTTAACTGTAGCCCTCTCCCCAGGCCTGGACCAGGCATCTGCTGTGGGTCAGTGACCCTGGGACTGGCCTACATATCCCACACTCTTTACACAGGAACTGTATAGATGGGTTGTCTCCCTGTCCCCAAGAAACAAAACACATCCCAGTGTCCACATACCCCATCCACAGAAAGCTTGTCCATCAGATGGGCTTAGCTTCAGAACTGAGGGCAGTGCAGGGGTGATGGGCAGGGGCTTAAGGATCCCGAGAGTGAACCACCCACTCTCAGGCTCAGGTTCCCCAGGATTCCCAGCTATCATCTCATTTAGGGGGTCCAATACCTAGGACTTCCTAGAGATGTACGTGATGTGTGGACATTTGGTGGGACATTGCTGAGGATGAACCCAGGTCCTCAGGCATGCTAGGCAAGAGCTCTACCACTGAGCTACACATCAAGCCCAAGTCACACTTTAAAGGGGGTAGAGGGTGGCCTGGTACAAGGCTTTCATCTCTGCTTTATTTTGTCCTATGGGGTCTTATTTTACAACTTCTCTTTTTTTTTTTTTTTTTTTCGTTTTTTTTTTTTTTCGCCATGAACCAAGGAAAACTTAGTCTAAAAAGAGCCTGTAGGATCCATGAATTCAGTCCAGTGGCCTTTTACCTGGAAGATGGTATCCCAGGGAGTTAGAGTGACTTGCCTAAAGACTCATGGCAGAGGGTACAAAGCTGGGGCCACCAGAATTTGAGATCCCTGAATCTAACTCTTCTCGCATGAGCCAAAAGCACTGACAGACACAGAGCAGAGGCTGTGGCCACTGACTGGATGTGTAGCCAGTATATTTATTAGTTAATAATCATTTTATTTATTATTTTTTATGTGTATGAGTATATTGCCTGCATGTAGGTAGGTGCATTTGTGTTGTACAATGCCCATGGAGGTTAGAAGAGGGCATTGAATCCCCTGGAACTGGAGTTGTTAGCCACCATGTGGGTGCTAGGAATTGAACCCAAGTCCTCTGTAAGAGCAGCCAGGGCTCTAACTACCAAGCCATCTCTCCAGCCCTCAGTCTCCCCTTACAACCAATCAATGAGGATGTAAATCAAGCATCTGTTGGACCCTCCCAGGCAAGGGTCCTCAAGCTTAGAGGTGCCATCCTGAAGATTTCAATAGGACAATGGGTGGCAGAGTGCTTGGAGCATGCTATAGGCACTATAGGCACCTAGCCCGTGCGGTGATGAACCACCTCTGCAAGTGAAGGAATGAAAACTGAAGGTCTAGAGTAAAACTAAGCCCTGCTGTGGTTCCATGCTCACAACCAAATCCCTGGGAACTCAGATTTCACAAGGCGTGTCTGCCACAAGCTAATGTGCCTCTGTGACAGTGAGCCAGCAGGCTGCACCCCTGAGCCCATTCCACTGCACTTCCCCACTCCACCCACCAGGTATAGTATCAAGTAGAAAAATCCTTTTTCTCTGTAGGGCTGCAAAGCTCTGGTCCTGTCATCCCCCATAGCCACCAGCCTAATTAGGAACCAGCTCTTTAATTGCAGATAAATACCAGGGAGTCAGACTGGAGTAAAGCAACATCAAAGATGACCAAGGCCTGACCGAAACTCCCGCTCACTCCCCCTCTGCTCAGGGTCTGGCCTAGTTCCCAGCCAGCTCTAGGTCCCGCTGGGAGGGTTGGGTAGTAGGGAGGAAAGGCTCTAGAAGTCCTGCCTTGTAGCCAGGATCAGCAGATTTCCTCCTTTCTCAGTCTCAGTCTTTCCATCTGAGCAATGAGGAAGTAACTTTAATGTTCAACTCTTAGTTTCTGTTCCCAGTAGCTCTAGTCCCCTTGCCTAGAGACCTGCTCAGACATCTACCAACAAGAGGATGGTACAGATTCCCACAAATCCTGTTCAGCCAAGAAGGAACCAACTCCCAAAACATGCAACAGTGTGGACCACCCAGAGTGCACCTACTGAGTGAAAGAAGCCTCACACAGAAGACCCACTGGCAGCCTGGGGCAGGCTTTGCACTGACTAGGGCAAGCAAAGCAGGTGATAGGAAGCTGAACAGCAAGAGCTGGGGTATAGTTCACAGGGAAGAGTGCTTGCCTAGCATGTTCAAAGCATCAGGTTCCACCCCCAGTACTGCCAAAAATAAAAAAATAAAAATTTTAAAAGGAGAGAAAAAGAGTCAGTGGCACATGCCTTTAGTCCGAGCACTCAGGAGGCAGAGGCAGGTAGATGTCTGAGATTGAGGCCAGTCTTGTCTACATAGCAAGTTCCAGGCCACCTGGGGCTACAAGGAGATCCTATCTCCAAAAGACCAAATTAAAAGGTGGGGGCAATTTAATAGGGCAGGGGCATGGGGTGAGCAGGAAGAGGGGCAGAAGGAACTTTCCAGGATAAGGTGATGTTTGGTATCTTGATAGGAATGATGGGAATTGGGGATAATACACAGTCAAGTCACAACCCAAATTTTGGTCTAGATATGACTCCTCTGAAAAGCTTCAAAAGAAGAAAGTGGCCCACTCTGTGGCCCTCCTCCCTGTCTCTGGCCTACAGTGGTCTTGGGAGGACTCCAGGTGGCCCAGGGAACAGACCCCAGCCTCCCAGTGGCACCCACATTCCTGCCACCAGAGGGTGGTGGCTGCCTGCTCAGCCC